AATGAAAATAAAAAAATAAAAAAAAATTCACTTGAAAACGCACGTTTATTATGCTAGTATACTACAAAGAAGACTGAAGATAAATATCTTGCATTTGTGTCAGCTGTGAAAAGGAGAAGCTTCCGTGGGTCCCTATGCTTCCAGCAAAGCCCATTTTTCTTGGAAGCTTGACATGTGTGGTTTTGCTTTCGTTATTCATGACTGATGGGAAAGTTAAATAGTGAGTAGCTACTTATGCTTCCACCAACCTTGTTTTTTATTGGGTACTTTTATGTGTGTCATACCATCTTTTAATTTTTGCAGCTCCTTGTTTCATACCAAAAACAAAATCATGATTCATGCTTTTTACAGTATAAATTAAAATAATTGAGTAGCAATTGATGCTTTTTTCTTATAAATTGTAATAATTGGGCAGCAGTAAGACGCCTTTTTTTCAGTCAAGCAGTTGCCAATTGTTTGGTTCTTTTAATCCTTTTGAAGCTAAAAGACTGTTTCACTCCTTACAAAATGTAAGTTCAAGGTTTTTTTTTTTTTTTTTTTTAACTTTTTAATATCAATGTATGATATATATATTAGAATAAAATAAATAACACAATTTTTGTAAATTTAATTATTTTCATTTGATAAAAATTAAAAAATAAAAGTAAATTGTTAAAAAAAAGAATATAAAATTAATGCAATTGGCTATTTTTTTTTCTTGATGCATAAAGTAATTAAAAACTACTCAACACTTTTAACAGTTTTCATTGAAAATATTTAATTAAATGATTTTTGAAAATGATTTAACAAAAGTATTAAAAATAAATTTATTAAAAATTTTTAAATTTTAATAATTTATCAAATTAATTAAAAAACTTTTATCAAAGAATATAGGAAAAGTTACAGCAAGTACGTTGTTTTTTTTTTTTTTTTTTTTTTTTTGTTTTGACTAAGAGCTATTTCATTGGTTTTTTTTTCTATCGGCAGGTTAAAAGTGTTATTTCACACTATTTGTCGGCAAGTCATTCTATCAGCAATTGCAGACTTTCATTATTATTATTTTTTTAAATTGCGAGTTGCACCAAATTTCAAATAAAAAAAGTTGATTTTAATATATTACTATAGTGATAACTCGGGGATATATATATTTTTATGAATTCAAAATTTTTTTATAAAATATATCTTAAATTAAAAAATATAAAAATGTTTTTAAGTTAAAAAAATTATTAATATAATTCAATCTCAAAATTCTTTCAAGATGGAAGAGCATTGAGAGCTCAAAAATAATAAATTAATGCATACATGCCATAATCTATATCAATGTCAAATATTAGACTTGTACCTTGGCAGTTAGATTTGTACCTTGGTATTTTTATAAAATTTAATCTGTTATGTCTAGTAATCTAATTCTTTATATTCAACAATATTTTTCAATTAAAAATATGAAATTATTTCATAATATGATGCTTAAACATAGAAGTTTATACTAAGCATATAAACATGCCAATGAAATAATGAAAAATGATAAGTAAATTTGCAAAGGAGACATAAGTATTTTTTTGTACCAAAGCAAAAGAGCCACATAAAAATTTAGAGGCTAGAAAAAAATGGAGTTGATATATAAATTTTAAACCTAATATAGTATGAAAGTTTTTGGCTTAAACTTTAATAATGAGCTACAATAATACATGAGAAACATCGAAAAAAGGCCATGGAGAAGATATGAGTGGTAAGAGTCGTATTCAATTTGCACTTTCTTACTTTGATTATCTTAGTGAATTTCATACAAAAGTTAATAACTCAGAATGCTGATCAGATTAAGGTAAACAAGTTTGCTTGTTTCCTTTAAGGTCACACCCTTTATTTATATATACATCGCATGGTTTTGATATTATTTGAAAAATCTTTGAAAGTCATGAAAAAAAAAAAATAACAGATAAAATAAAATAAAGGAGGTGAAACTAACTTGAAAATAAGATCATGTGAAGATGTCTTGTAGTGATAAAATTGATATAAAAAATGTTTCGTGGACCCTTGAAGAAAGACATCATTTTAGTCTCTAAGAACATGGTCCTAAAAATTAGATATTAGTATTCACAAACAATGATGTATTTCAATAGCAAACAACTTTCATTATTCATAGATGTCAATGTCAAACCAAATGTATATTTTTTAACAATAACTAAAATAGTTATTTAAGTTAATATACATTTAAGCACTGATCATTATATTGTTTAGATTTATATCATTGTCTAAAGAAAAAAATAGTAATTTTATATTTTTGGGATTGATAAATTATATTTATAAATCACTACAATATGTTGAAATCATATAAAAAAATAATTCAAACATTTTTTTTTCATTTTCACTACTCAATTTGGTTTTTTCATAGTCTAAAATCTCAAAACATTATTTTTTCTGAATATTTTTTAAAAAACCTTCAAGTTACTTTTTATAATTTCAATTCTAACTTTTTTGTCTTTTTTTTTTATTATTTAAGAGAAGTTTAGTTTTAAATAACAAAAGTCAAATTTATTAAAGCTCAATCCAAGAAAATAAAAAGAAAACATCAAAATATTAAAGAACAAAAGAAAAAAGCATAAAAAAAATTGGATGAAAGAATAAGACAAAACAATGAGAATAATTGAAGGCTGTGAAAGAGCAAAAATTAAACACCCACTTACTTTTTCTATACTGCGACGTCTTTGTTTCCCCACCATCCTTCTCTCTCTCTCTCTCTCTCTCTCTCTCTCTCTCTCTCTCTCGTCCCTCTTATTTCTTATGCTCTTTCAACTTATTTATCTTCTTTTAAAGTCTTCTACCTTATTTGTTTTCTCTACCTAAAACTTTGTCTATTTTTTTTTAGATAATATCCCATTTAATCTCTGAATTATTATTTTTTTAATATATATTATTTAAGCAAAAAATTTTTTTAATAAGATATTTAAATTATATTTTCATATATTTAATTATTTTAACTTTTAACATAATTAAAAATTTTAACATGGTACAAACATCTAATAAGATATTGATACATATAAAAAAAATTCTATTAACTCCACATTAGAATTAAAAGAAAATTTCAAAAAATTTATAAAATTCTAAAAGTTTTTAAAAATTATAAAAAAATTCAAAAAAATTTTAAAAAATCTACACATTTTTAAAATTTATTAAAAATTAAGGAAAATTAAAAATTTTATAAAAAAATCAAAAATTTTAAAATATCCAAAAATTTTCAAAATAATTTTGCAAAATTTAAAAAATGAGTATTTTAATAAAAATAAAAATTTCTTAAAATTAAAAAGAAATCACATAAACTTAAAAAATGTTTAAAATAAAAAAAGCCTTTAACATTTAACTGTAGTTATGAAGCACACTCGTAAAGACAAACAAAGAGTTGTCCAAATCTTTTTTTTTTTGTCCCTTTTTTTTTTGTTTTTATTACTTTTCATTACCATCTCAACACCTAACCCATACAACAAACTTGAATATTTTTCCAAAGAGCCACTAAAGAAATTATCTTTCAATTTCATGAATGTACAAGAGTCATGAGCAAACTAATCTGAATCTGCTTGATGGACAGAATCCAACTCCTTTCCACCTTCCAAAACTCTGCAAGCTTGTTCAATCCACCATGCAGACTGTGACAAAACTTCATCAAATCGCTTAATCATAAGGTTGAAAATAAATATTGATGCAAACTAAAGAACCATACTTGGTATCCGCAAAATGTATCGCGGATCAAGAGCTTAAGCAAGTAACCGAAATATAACCACCATGGAAAGTAACCCAATGCACACTATCATTCAAAACATTCCCTGAACACATCAAAGACTCACCAAACCTCATTGCTTCAATGCCCTTCTCGTTATTTTTCTTGAAATCAATCCCACTTTGCCTTAAAAGCTCAACAAAATTGTTAGCAAACACATCCTCATTGACATTAAACTCACCGAAGTTGAATTGCCAAATGCAAAACTTATTAGTTCCACAAGTAGGCAAGTTTCCTTTCTCATGATCCGAAAACGTAAGACCCAACTGAATCTACTTTAACATATTAATATTATCTTTCAAAGTTTGGTAGTGGCAGTCATAGCTATTCTTGAAATTGCCCACGGGACGCAATACAATGCCTGGAAACTCGGTGTCTATGGCAATGTAAGGGTAATCATCGGCTATTTCAAGAATTAAAAAATCAAAAATAAAAATTTTTGGATTTTTTTGAAAAATTTTAATTTTCCTTAATTTTTTTTATAATTTTCTTAGATTTTTCTGAATTTTAAAAACTTTTTTGAATATTTTTTAATTTTAAATTTTTTTTAGAATTTTTAAAAATATTTTAATTTTTTTTAATACACAATAATAATATAGTATTAATTAAATTTTTTTAGCATGTGTAAGTATTAAATATGCATCTCACGTCAATATTTTTTTTACCAATATTAAAGATCGACACAATTTAATTACGAAAATAAAATTTAAATATTTGATTAAAATACTTTTATTTAAATAGTACGTTAAAAAAGTGTAATAGTTTAGAGACAAAATGATATGTTGTCTATTTTTTTTTTAATTTTAATTGAAAGTAAAACTTCACAGTTGTCAAAAGAAAACTCTGGTGCATTAATCTTTCATCAAAATTTCTCTTTGATCTATTATTATTATTATTATTATTATTATTGTTATTATTATTGTTATTTATACAATATTCAAGGATGGAAAAGATAAATAGTGGAAAAGTTAGCGACTAAGTCGGCCTTTCTTCGTAAGTGCAATTTCAAAGCAATTACCAATAGAAAAATGGTGAATAATGAATGCATCACGAAGGAACAAAAAACAAGTTGCAATAACATCCAAATGGAGAAAGTTGATTTTTCTTTTCAAAAGCTTTTGTGTTATTTTCAAATGTCTGGAAGCTGAGGCTGTAGTTTCGGATGTCTGTCTGTCTTAGTAATTGCTATTTATTTCAACGTTCGAAATTCTAAGCTAAATTTTCCTTTAATGAAAAAGAAAATACTTAAAAAATATTTAAAAGAAAAGACTTTGGGCAATGTGAATACTGATTCAGCCTCTCGGTTATCGGCTTAAATCTGAAATACTTTTGCCTTTCTTCTCTCCACCTATAAATAAAACTTCAGCCTTTCTCCCAACTCATCTTTCCCTAGGCCTCTACAATACCCAGTCTTTCTACTCAAACTCAGTTGCTTTTTTTCCGAAAAACCCTTTCCCCTACTCCTCAACTGGCTTTGCTTTTGTGTTTTCTTGCCTGGTTTTAGTCCCCTTGCTCTTCTTTCTTTCTTCTTTGTTTTTCTCTTGGTTCCCTCTTATGGATCAGAAGACGAGTCTGTCCAAATCATTTCTAGTCTTTACACATAAATAAAGCTTCAACCATTCTCCTCAACTCATCTGTCTCTATTCAGTTTACTTTAACTATCTCCACGATCTCAGTTGCTCCTTTTTTTATTTTTCGAAAGCCATTTCCCCTAAATCCCGCCTTTCTGCCTTGCTTTTTGTTTTTTATCCTGGTTTTAGTCTCCTTGTTCTCTCTGTTTTTCTCCGGTTCCTTCATCGGAAGGGAGTCTGTCCAAACCATTTCTAGTCTTTGCCCATAACTGATTACATATATTGCTTTCTGTCTTGATCTTTGTTGTTAATTGCTCCCCTCTTGTCTCTGTTTTCTTCTGTCATTTGCTTTGCTGGTCTGCTTCAAACAAACCAATCAACCAAAAAAAATGGAAGCCGTTGCTACTGGCGCTGCAGCCAACCTTTCTTCGGAAACTGCGAAAGGCATCTTCCAAGAAATCAAACGTCATATGAGATATGTAATCATCTATAAGAAAAACGTTGAGAAGTTTGAGGCGAAAATGCGGATGTTGTTGGCGAAAAGAGAAGGCGTGCAGAAAGAGATCGAAGTTGCAGAAAGGAATGTGGAGGAGATAAAACCGGACGTCAAGCTTTGGTGCAGTACTGTGGACAAGGTAATCAAAGAGGAGAGGAAAAATGTTGAGGATCTTGAAGACAAAGCAAAGAGCAAGTGCTTCATTGGCTTGTGTCCTAACATCAAGTCTCGCTACCAACTTAGCAGGAAAGCTGAAGAAGTTGTCGCGGTTTTTAATAAACACCTTCAAGAAGGTGAATTCAACAGTGTTTCATGCCCTGCTCCTCCTCCAGACATAGTGGATGCAACTCCTAAAGATTTTGAGGCCTTTGAATCAAGAGCGAAGGTATTTAAAGACATCATGGAGGCATTGAAAAATGGTACTACCAACTTGATAGTGGTGTATGGGATGGCTGGTGTGGGCAAAACCACACTAGTCAAAGAAGTTTATAGACAGGCCAAAGAAGACAAGTTATTTGATTCGCTGACTATGGCATTTATGAATCAGACTCCTGACCTTCAAAAAGTTCAAGATCAACTTGCAGCTTCATTGGGTCTAAAATTAGAAGGAACGGATGTGGTGGTTAGAGCAGCCCGATTGCGTGAAAGATTGAAGAAAGAGAAGAAGGTTCTTGTTATTTTAGATGATATTTGGAAGAAACTAGATTTGAAGGAAGTGGGAATTCCTTTTGGAGATGAAAACAAGGAATGCAACATATTGCTCACGTCAAGAGATCTAAATGTTCTAAGTAATGAGATGGCTGCTCGGAAAAATTGTGAATTATCTGTTTTAGAAGATAAAGAAGCTTGGGACCTGTTTAAGAAGATGGTTGGGGACGATGCTGAAAATCCTGAGTTGCGATCTACAGCAATTGAAGTAGCCAAAAAATGTGCAGGACTGCCTCTCGCCATTGCAACAGTTGCAAGGGCTTTAAGAAACAAAGGCTTATTTGCGTGGAATGATGCTTTGAGAAAACTACAAAGGCCTTCCCCAACAAACTTCACAGGAATACCAGAACATGTTTATTCAGCTATAGAGTTGAGTTACAACCATTTGGAAAGAGAAGAACTCAAACAGACATTCTTGCTTTGTGGGCTGCTAGGTCACGACGCTTCCATTCAGGACTTGCTGAAATATACAATTGGTTTGGGTTTATTTCAAGGTGTCAACAGAGTAGAAGAAACACGAGATAGATTGTTGACAGTGGTGAGTGACCTCAAATCCTCTTGTTTGTTGCGTGATAGTTACACCAATGTGCGAGTTGATATGCATGATCTTATTTGTGATGCGGCCTTAGCAATCGCTTCTAGGGACAACAATGTGTTTGCATTAAAGCCCGAAGATGGTTCAAAAGATTGGCCTAATGGAGAGACAATGGAAAAATGCACCATGATTAGTTTGAGATATGCTAATATTAGCTATTTTCCCAAAGAGTTGAAATGTCCTCTACTTACCTTTTTCTATGTGGGTAGCAGGGATTCTTCTGTGGAAATACCAATCAGCTTTTTTAAGGAAATGAAAAATCTTAAAGTTTTAGATTTGACTAAAATGCAATTTCAGTTCTTACCATCCTCAATTAGTCTCCTAACAAACCTTCGGACATTGTGCCTAGACCAATGTAGTTTCGTGGATATTGCTGGGGTTGGTGAGCTCAAGAATTTGGAAATTCTTAGCCTTTTGGATTCTGATATTGAAATGCTACCTAAGGAAATTGGGGAATTGATCAAATTAAGGTTATTAGATCTCAGAGGTTGTACCAGACTCAAAATAATTCCACCAGGGGTCTTATCGAGTTTGTCTAGATTGGAAGAACTGTATATGGGTGACAGTTTTGTTCAATGGGAAGTAGAGAGGCAGGCCAACCAACAAAGCAATGCTAGTCTTGCTGAATTGAAGCTTTTGTCTCATCTGACCACTTTAGAGGTTCATATTCCTGATGCCAAGATTATGCCAGCCGACTTGTTCTCCAAGAAATTGAAAAGATACAAGATTTTCATAGGAAAGGGATGGGATTGGTTTGGTGAGTATGAATACTCAAGGACATTGAAACTTGAGTTAAATACAAGTGTTGATGAGTTGGATCACGGATTTAAAATGTTTCTAAAGAAAACTGAAGATCTATATTTAGATGACATGAAAGGTGTCAAAATTGCTCTGCATGAGTTGATGGATGAGGAAGGCTTTCAGCGGTTGAAGAATCTCCATATCCAAAATGGTTCGGAGATCGAATATATCATTAGTGATGATGGTGCAGCTTATAAAATTGGATTTCTTGAATTGCGATCTTTGACACTTCATGGTCTACCACAGCTCATTAGCTTTTGCTTTGAAAATAAAAGGGGCTCTAATTCTTCATGTCAAAATGAGTTATTGTTTTTTAGTGAAAAGGTATGTTTTTCTTTTACGTCAGTTGCTAAATATTTTTTGTTTACAAAAATGAATATAAACAGAGAGGCAAAAAATAATAAAATAATAACAAATCACTAATATATAGGAAAAAAAGAAAAAGGAAAAAGCATCTATCAAGTGAAGTCTTAACAAATATCCAAAATTTGTAGTCTATTTTCAAGGACTTTTTAGCTTTTAGATTTACTAATTAATGAGGTTTCAACCTTTCATCTATTTGATGGCGTATTGAAATATATACTCTTGTATCAAATTTATATCCTTTTTGTTTAAATACTCATTCAAATGCCTATAATGTTGGTCTCATTTTGGTTTCCTCTAAAACTATATATGCTCTCAAATGGAAGCCCTTGTGATTGACAATGAGACCACTACCTGAATGTGGATGCTCTATTGTTTGGGGGCTAAATGTCAAAATTAAAATTTAATCATAGTTTGCGCATGATTTTTCACTTGAGAATTTAACGTTTTATTTTTATTTTAATTTTTTAATAAATAAAAATTGATAACATAAGTTAGTGACTATTATTAATCTGATTTTGATCTCAAATTAATCAGAATTGTCATTTAGATCTTGGAATAAAAAATTGATAACACTAAATCACTTTTTCTTAAGAGGGGAAGTAATTTTTCTATCAATGTACTGCATGTCGTTGCATTGGGAAACACCATTCCTTGGTTTTTGTCGAAACATATTATACTAAAAGACTAGTCTTTTTGTTCTGTTATATTTTAATTTTTAATATCTCTGATAATGTAGTTGGTGTTCCCTTGCTTGGAGAGCCTTCGGTTGTCCTCAATCAATGTTGAAAGGATATGGCACAACCGGTTTTCAAATACATCTGAATACGGCACTCAAAATCTAACTAGTTTGACTATTGAGGGTTGCGACAACTTGAAACAGCTATTATCATCCTCTATGGCTAGAAGTCTAACGCATCTTAAATGCTTTGAGATAGTTGAATGCAAATGCTTGAGAGAGGTAATATTTGCAGAGGATATAGAAGAAGACAAGGCTACTATTTCATTCCCTCAATTAAACTCTCTAAAGATAAGGAAGCTTCAACATCTCATTGGGTTTTGTTCAGAAAATTATAATATTGAATTCCCATCCTTGAAGCTTCTGGAGATAGTGCAATGTCCTCAGTTGCGGGGATTCATATATAAATCTACAATGGAGGAGAACCAACATTTCTCTCCACAAGCTCTCTTCGATGAAAAGGTAGATTTATTGTTATAAAGTTCTGTACTATACTTGCTTTCTTTTTTTATCTTTATTCTTGGAACTAATTACTCTTGTTATCTTTACACTTTACACATAGGTTGCATTCCCTAGTTTGGAGCAACTGAGTATTTCCTGGTTAAGAAATATGAAGATGATATGGAACAATCAACTCTCTGTAAATTCCTTTTGCAAATTGGAAAAAATGGTAGTTGAACATTGTAATGAGCTCTTTACCGTTTTTCCATTTGATTTGTTGAGTACATTTCAAGGACTTCAAACTCTCAAAGTATCTAGTTGTTGCTCAGTAGAACATATATTTGAACTCCAAAGGTTAAATATGAATGAAACAAATGTTGTGGCTACTCAACTAAGAGAATTGAATGTTGTTAATCTACCAAAATTGAAGAATGTTTGGAACGAGGACCCCCAAGGAATTTTAACATTTCAAAATCTAAATGTAGTAATTGTTGGGTACTGTTGGAGTCTGAAGAATGTGTTTCCAGCCTCAGTTGCCAAAGTTCTTCCACAACTGAAAGATCTTATAGTAGAGAGCTGTGCCGTGGAGGAGATTGTTTCAAAAGCGGAAGGATGGGAAACGAGTGTAACTAATTTTGAGTTTGATCAAGTGTCCTCCCTTATACTATGGTACCTGCCAAAACTCAAATGTTTCTATCCTGGAATGCATACAACAAAGTGGCCAACACTAAAAAAGTTGAAAACATACCATTGCAACAAAGTGAAGGTGCTTGACATCGGAGGGCTTAATTTGCCAGATATGAATGAGGACAATCAATTGGACTCCCAAATCCAACCACCACTTTTCTTAATTGAAAAGGTACGAAGTCCAGATCCCACTTAAAAAGCTATCTATGTGTAATAATACCATATACCTGATTTTTTTTATTGATCATTTGGTTCAAATTTTGAATTTTATCATTTGTCTAAATTTTCTAAATTTGGGAAAAGTCTTATAATGGAAATTGACCAGCTCATTAGACTTTAAGCAAGGAGACACAAGCACATCTGTACCAATTAGCCAAATGCTTAGATGCTGTAATGTTTCTTTTGGTAGATAAATTTTCCATTTTCATTCAAAAAGTACAAAATTGTAATTGATTTTTCTTTGGTTTTGTAGTTGGTTCCCAAATTAGAAGAAGTGTCTTTGACCAGTGATGACATTGCAATGATATGTGAGAGCAAGGTTTCCAAAGACCTTTTCTATAAAATAAAAGCTCTTTATTTGCTTTGCTACCACGATGAATCTGCTATTTTCCCAATCACCTTTCTTGAAGGATTCAACAATTTGGAAAAGCTTGAGGTGATTTGTTGCAACTTTAACAATCCATTATCGTACAAAGGTGATAAGGGGACAAATGCTCCGACAATTTTGCCAGTTAGAAAGTTAAAACTAGATGGGCTTCATTCTCTAAAACACATGTGGATGCAAGGGTCACGACTTGACTGCATTCTTCCCAATCTTGAAACACTTGAAGTTTTCAGAAGTGCCAATATGATTAGTTTAGGATTGTCCTCAACACCTTTTCAAAATCTCATGACTTTGGATGTTTGGGAGTGTGGAGCAATGATAAACTTAGTTCCATCCTTAGCAGTTCAAAGTTTGGTCCAACTAAAAAATTTGAGGATAAAAAACTGTTTTTCAATGAAAGAAATTGTTGGAAATGAGAGAGATGATGAAGCAACTAGTTACATTACTTTCAATAGGTTGGAATGTTTGGAGCTTCGACATTTACCAAGCCTTAAAAGCTTTTGTTCAGGCAATCAAACATTTGGATTCCCATCTTTGGACCAAGTAATAGTGAGCCACTGTCCTGAATTGGAGATCTTTTGCAAGGGAGATTTAAAGACACCAAAATTGCAAATAGTACAAGTAATTGCAGGTGAAGATGAGAAGGTACGCTGGGATGGTGACCTTAATATTACCGTCGAACAGTTGTACACAAAAAAGGTACTTCTTGATTTACAGAATTTTTTTAATCTTTGAAATAAAGGTCTTTTTAGGCTAGCTTTTTATTGCTGGATGTTATTTTCAACCATTTATTATGAATTTTGGGGAGTTTAATTCTACTTAAGTCTTATAATTTTCTTTCTTTTTTTTTTTTTTGGGTAATAATTGGTGTCATAAATTGGATTTTGTAGGTTGACTATGAAGGAATAGAGTGTCTGGTGCTCTCTGACACTTCTAAAGCAATGCAGAATTGGAGGGATAATCTTCAAAAAAGTTTAAATTTAAAAAATCTTAAATGTTTGGAAGTTTGTGGATGTAATAGCTTGAAAAACATATTCACCACTTCCATGGCTTTGGATCTTGTGCAATTGCAGAAGATAAAAGTAAGAAATTGTGTGATGATGGAGCAAATTATCACAAATGATGGAGCAGAGGAGGCAACAACAAACACAATCATGTTCCCTTCCCTTGAATCCATAATTCTTGAGTCATGTTCAAACTTAAGAAGTTTTTATTGGGGGCATGATACAGTGGAATATCCATTTTTGACAGAACTTACAGTAGAAGGTTGTCCAAAGATGATTGCATTTGCAACTTCGTCTCCAAGAGAGCAGAATATAAAGACTAATGGCATTGCACCATTTTTCAGTGATAAGGTTAGTTTTTGCTTGTGCATTTGGTTCTTTACATAGCAAATGCTTCTAAGATGATGTTTGTTAGATTTAACAAATTCAAGACCAAAAAATTAAATACTAAATTTTTAGTTTTGAAGAATTAAGCATTGAATTGTCATATAAAAATGTTTGGTGTGCTACTAAAAGTCAGTAGCTTTTTTATTGAATCTTTTATATAAAAGAGATACGGTTTTATAAGTATTTTGAACTAAAAAAAGTTTAAAAAGGAAAGAATAAATTGTTAAAAAATACTGTAAGAGTAATGTAATTAAATAATTTTTTTTAAAAAAATAATTTAATACATTAAGTGGCTAAAAAGTATTTAAAATTTCTGGCACTTTTTTTATTAAAATCTTTTATTAAGTTTCTTTGAAATGAATTATCAAACGCATTAAAAAAATAAGTCATTGAAAATTTTAAATTTTCATTATTTTGAAGTTTTGAAATTTTCAATATTTTGAAAATTTTCAATAAATTATCATAAAGTTTGACCAAAAAAAATATAACTCAACTTTTTAAGTTCAAAGTTATTTTTTCTTTGATATTAATTTCTTATTTCGCGATGGTATCTTTATCTTTATTGTTATTTTATTTATAAAACTATTAAGTTCAAAAGATTAAATTGTTAACAACTTTTTATTCATTAAATTAATTATTTTATCCTTAATTAATGATTTTTTAATATTGGCTATTATTTATTATTTATTATCATTGAAAAGTTTATTTAAATAAACTCTATCCTTAATTGATAATTTTCATATGAAATTAAATAACTGACTATTTTATCTATTTATTTCCTTATAAATCTTAAATTTTGCACCAAACTGAATTATTTTTAGTAAAATTTAGTTTTTATTCTATTAAATCATTAAGGAGTTTAAATATGTATGAGATTTATTATTACTATATAATCTGCCACAAAATGGATTGTTTGATATACTCTAATTGAATTAGATTTAAAATGTTTAATTATTACTATATAATATGCCACAAAATTATTTTTTCTCTTTTTGCATGCTAGAGGAAAATAACAAATTAAAAAATATCGAATTTTAATATTAATTTAGAGTTTTGATAGTAAGCAAAAAAATTTTTTGGTTTTGATAAGTTAATCCATAAAAAAATCAATTATCGAAAATCATGCAACTAATTTCTAGTGTAATAAATGAGGAATACCTTTAATTACCTCAATTTGTCTATGCATTTTAAGTACTTATTATTTTATTAGTATAGTTATTACAACTCTGTGTTAAATCATCCAATTATGAAATTCAATTAGCAGTTTTTAATGCTCTTAGAATCCTTTGTTTATGCTTGTAGCTAGTTCTTCTTTTCTCCTCTAATTTCGTCTTTCTTAAAGTTTTGTTAGGATTTGAAATTGATATTTTTGCTCTTTTTTTGTGTATCTTATCAAGCTAGAAGTATAATTTATTTCTCTTTATTAATACAATTAAATAAATTTTTTGCAGGAGGTGTTCCCTAACTTAAGAAAATTGGTAATCATCGGCAGTGGGTATTGGACAATGATATGGGACGATAAACTCACATTTAGTTCATTTTGTGAACTAACTCTTCTCGTAGTGAAAAATTGTGAAAGACTTCTGAATGTTTTCTCATTTCATATGACGCAAAGACTTGGCAAACTCGAAAATCTTCAAATATTGAACTGTGAATCCTTGGTAGAAGTAATTGGACTTGATCATGGACTCAATTCCACTGAATCAACCACCATGTTTATATTTCCTAAAATAAGATTCTTGATACTTCAGTGGCTACCCAAATTGAAGAATTTCTACTCCAAGTTGCATGCTACAAGATGGCCATCCTTACAACAATTGGAGGTGAGAGGATGCGACAACGTGGAGATATTAGCTAGGGAGTTATTGAGCTTTTCAGAAACATTTGGAGAGAGTCAACTGGAAATTATCCCTTCTAAACAACCCTTGTTTTGGGTCACTAAGGTATGAATCTCTAATATGTATGTAGAATGTAAGGACTTAAGGTTTGTTGGGTATAATTTTCTATTTTTAGTTTTTTTTTCTAATTTTGTTTTGAACAGGTAGAACATGTTTGGGAAGTAATTTTGTTATATATGAAACGAAAATACTTAAATTGTTTCACATATAATTATTCAATACACAAAATAAAAATTTAAGAATTAATTAAAAATAATATTGTATTTATTAAATAAAATTATATTATTTGCATAATATTATTTAATACTATTTGATAGTAATATTGAATATTGCGATCTAATCATAATAGAATTTCTCATTTAAATAATATTAAAATTAAATATATTAATAAATTATAAAATTAGAAATTATTAATTAAAATAATAATTTAAAAAGTAATAATTATATAAATATTAAATAATATTAAATAAATTGACTGTTGAATTTTCAATACCAAATTATGGGTTAAGTTATTTTTGAACAAACAACAAAGATTTAGACCTTCTAAAAGGTTCTGTTAATAGAAGTTAGGTTGGTTGATCATTGGGATTGCAAGTAGTATGTTTTATATGCATGATGAATTTCATTCATGATCTTTAATTTTTTTTAATTTTGGTTCCACTTCCACCACTCGCCAAGTAAAACTTTTACCATGGAACATGCCATATGGACATTCTCTTAGCTTACCATGTGAACCCTTTTTTTTTTTAATTGTTAGTGAAAATGTGACAAAGTAATCAAAATGAAAATCTAATATATCAATTCAAAAGTTAGGGGCAGAATTAAAACCAGAATAAAAATTAGAGATCATAAATGAAATTTACGGTTCAAAATCCTTGCATTTGTTTAACATATTTCTTAATTTTGATTATCAGGATACATTCCCCAATTTAAAATGCTTACTTTTGGGAGCAAATGGCTTTATGACGGAGATATGCCATGGACAACTTCCAGCCCAATATTTTTGCCAACTAACACATCTTGGGCTCAGAAATATTCCCAATATATCAGCAACTATTCTAAACAGTTTCATTCAGTCTTTACCAAATCTTGGATCACTTGTTGTGAGCGAAGCTCCCTTCAATGAAATATTTCAATGCGAAGGGCTGGAGGGTGAGGAGGAACATCCAGGGGCACCTGCTGGGTTGACTGAATTAAAACTGATAGAACTTCCTGAGTTGACACATCTTTGGAAGGAAGAATACCAAGTTGGAGAAGTTTTCAATAACCTGAGAATTCTAGAAGTGCGGAAATGCGACAAATTGGAGAATTTAGTGCCATCTTCTGTGTACTTTAAAAATTTGACGAATCTGCTAGTGTCAAATTGTCACAGGCTTAAAAACTTAGTAGCACTGCCAACGGCAAAAAGCATGATGGTACTCAAAGCAATGAGTATCACTGATTGCCAAATGATAGAAGAAATCATAGCTCATGGAAGTGATGATGTGATGGATGGCATCGTGTTCTCCCAACTGCAGTATTTGGAACTTGGTTGTCTTCCAAGCCTATCAAGCTTCTGTTCAGGGAACTATGCTTTTGTATTCCCTTCCTTGAAAGGGTTAATAATGAGACAGTGTCCAAAAATGGCAATTTTCACTACGGGAGAGTTGAGTACACCAATGCTGCGGGGAATACAGTCAACTGAAGGTGAATATGTAGGGCGTTGGGAAGGCAACCTCAATGCCATTGTTCAGCAGTTATTTACAGAAAAGGTATGCATCAATTCAAATGATTTCCTTATCATTGTTACATTGTTTTATGTGCGTGATCTTATTCCAATTGAATTGCAACCTGAGTGTTGACTTTCTAAGTTTCCATATAACATTCTGTTAATTGTGTCCAAAGATGGAAATTTTGACTATGGGAGAGTTGAGCACACCAATGCTGCGGGGAATACAATCAACCGAAGGTGAATATGTAGGGCATTGGGGAAGGCAACCTTCAAGGCCATTGTTCAACAGTGGTCAGAAAATGGTATGCATCAGTTCAAATTATTTCCTTATCATTGTTCATTGTTTATGTGCATGATCATACTCCAATTGAATTGCTACATTGCCTGAGTGTTGGCTTTCTAACTTCCCATATAAACATTCTTCTAATTGTTACATGACTTGTATTGTAACAATAGATTTTCTGGCTTTTTGGTTCATCAATTCAAATGCTGCAAGATTTACACCAGACATTTATGCAGACATGTCAACAACGCAAGTTGGATGTGTCTGCCAAATGAAGCTGATCACATTATAGAGTTTTGATTAAGTTAAATTTTCTTCTAGTTAAAACCTTTTGTTCCTCATTTGGTGATTGAGAAAATGAAAAACGAAAGCTGCAGAAGTGTTCTTATCATGTGTTTTTTTTATCAGCTAAACATTGAAAAGTTTTTCATGAATTAAGGAATATATATGCTGTATGCAGGTTTTTCCAACCTTGGAGGATTTGGAGCTGTCCTCAATCAACATTCAGAGAATCTGGCATAAAAAACTTCTGGCAACACCTTCTTGTGCTCAATATTTAACATGCTTAACTATCGAGGGCTGTCACAATTTAAACTGCCTATTCTCGTCCTCAATGATGGAAAGTTTTGTGCAACTCAAGAGGCTTAACATTGAGAATTGTGAGAATGTAGAAAAAGTAATCTTGACAGAAGGATTAGCCAAAGAAGAACTGATGAGCCAAAAGTTGTTCTGTACACTAGAATTCCTCTTGCTTAAAGGCCTTCCCAAACTGACGAGATTCTGCCATGGAAGTTACTTTGAATTCCCCTTGTTGAGAATTCTTAGGATAGAGAGTTGTCTTACTTTAGATACGTTTGTCTCTGATGCAGAAGGAAACAACTCAGAGATTGCCTCTCCAACTCTTTTCAATGAAAAGGTGATACTCCATTACTTTGTTTTCTCCGTATCATTACTCTCTCTCCATTAATCTTACCTTAAATTCTATGCAATTATTGACACAAACAACAAATTCCATAGGTGGCATTCCCTTGCTTAAAGGAATTGAGCATCATAGGTGTGGGAAACTGGAGAAAGATATGGCACAACGAGTCAACCAACTCCGTGAGGATTCATTTTGCAAATTCCTAAAACTTCAGTAGTTGTTTGATTGTAAAAGACTCGAATACTTTTTTTCATTTAAGTTTGTGAGACACTTAAGGCTCAATCATGTTCCTTCAATTTAAGTGAGAAATCAGATGGTAAATAAAATTTTCACTTCCATAACCTTCATTTTTTTTTTCTCACACACTTCGTTGTTAACACCTTACCAAATTCTGTAGGTTAAAATCAACACAGCTCAGACCTGAATTTTGATGCATACATGTGTTAGGATCTACCTTGAATGCACCTGTCAGGAATTTAAACATATTCAAATGCACTTGCTTTACAGAGTAGAATATAGTGATCATGAAAACTTCAAACCAAGGTACAGCTGGTGTTCATTAACTTATATCCAGAATACAAGTAATAAATTTGATGACCTAAGTCTGGAATTTCCAGTAAAACAATGGTTGTTAATGACCTTATATGCCCCCAAGCTCTAAACCCTGTCATCGCAAAAATAACAATTACTCCGACGAAAGAATCTTCATTTCAAACTACTAGATGATGTAATTAGCGCCGACCAACCACCCTTTGGGCAAGTGGTGTTGCAGCCAGCAAGCAAATCGGATACAACAAGTAATGTTTTAAATGTGACCACCTTTGAGAACACTTGAGTATGTGCCAACGGAAAGTTAGTCACTGATCTTGCAGATATCCTTTCTCCTCCAAGTAAGAAACTACTTCCCCTGCCATAGCACCTGGTGTGGGGCAAATTCCATCTTTCTGGTTTATTTCTATCTGGAAAGGAGCGAAATAATTATCTGTTTCACAATTTGTAGAAAGATAACAGTATTTGGTTAATGTCACCATTAATAGTTTGCATAGTCAACTATACACATACCTCACAGTTAAATGGTGGTTCATAAGTATCATCTATGCCAGTAAAACCTATAATAATAACACAATTAGTTATTAAGGTCCTATATCCAACTAGAACAAGAAAAATATAGAGTCATCAGATCCAAAGTAAATTTTAGTCTCAAGATCATCAATGCAACTATTCAAACATAGAGGTTATCTTTCTTTAGTTAATGCATTAACAAGAAAACAAAAAGCTTTAGCAATGAATTTTATTTGACAATATGCATATGTTGTTGGTAAAAGAAAGCGGAAGAGAGATAGGAAATAAGGAGGCAATTTCTGTCAACAAATGTATGAAGGCATTGATCAAACCTTTAATCTTTCCAGCACGTGCGAGCTTGTAAAGATCTTTTGAATCTCTCTCTTCACACAATTCCAGAGGCATGTTCATGAAAACCTGTAGATGTACAAGGAAAAGCATTTCAACTTAAGTAAAAAGGATAAAAGGAATCAAGATGAGGACGAAGCAAAAGGAGCTTGCCTCTACAAAATTAGCATCCGGCAGCATTGCACGGCATGCATCACGGTCTTTCCTGTACGGAGATATTAGACTGGCAATGCAGATTAGACCAGCATCTGCAAAGAGCTTTGCAACTTCACCTAAATTACATGCAGAAAACGTTAGAAGCAAATCAAAGAACTATGCCATAACCAAAACGTGGGCTCTACCAAAACAAGTAATGGTAATGGTAATGCCATAACCACCTGTAAGCCATCTAGTCATAAAAGACATTTCACATATGCACATTTATCTAAGTAATGTAATGGTCCAGTGTTTAATAGTTAGTATGTTCAAACTTCATGATGTCCATGATTACTCGTTACAATTAAACACAGTGATAAGTTAATATGGTTTGCAAACTTGAGCCAAGACTTGCAGCCATATATCACATGTCTTACTTGCCAAAAAAATTATTTACACACACCAAACTCTTTAACTCTGGGAGACTTTTACTTCTCAAGAGCGTACTTACCAACCCTGCGTATATTTTCTGTTCGATCTTCTGCCTTGAAACCAAGATCCTTGTTTAAACCATGTCGAAGGTTGTCTCCATCAAGTACATAAGATAGCTTTCCCCTTGTATACAGTTCCCTACTTAGTGAACATGCAAGTGTGCTTTTTCCTGAACATGATATCCAATCGGAGAAGAAATTTTAAATTTAAAGCCACGAGGAAGCAAATCAAGCTGCTAAAACATTTTAATTTTCCACTAAGGATAATTATAATTCAAAAGAAAATTTTGAAGTACATAGGAAAGTTCATTTGACTAACCTGATCCACTGAGACCCGTGATCCATACAACACAGCCCTTTTGCTTAAGGAGCTTCTGCCTTTCAAGCTTCCCAACTGGTGATTCTTGCCAAAATATATTGGTTGAATTTCCCACAGTAGACATCTTAATCAGATATTGAACAACATTAAGCCACTTGAAAATATATGAGAGGTTTAAATTGTCCATTGTATATGTTAATTACAGAATCCTAAAATCCGAACGAAATAATCCGTAAAAATTCATAAAATTTTCTTTTTTTGAAGAATCAAGATAGTAAATGATACACAACAGCTGATTTTCTTTTCTTTTTTTTTTTTTATTTCATCCACATTTTTCAATCCTTTATTGACATTTTCCAAAATATGTTTCAAATTGATAAAAACATGCTTATTCTTATTCATTCTTTTATCCCACGCATCATAATGAGGAGAGGAAATCTCCACCATTAAACAGCTAATGAAACTGGCAAAGCAAAACCACATAAAAATGTAATCTTTATCTATGCAATGATCAAAGATGCCAACTTTTGTCATTTAAATAAAGCTTTCAACCCTTAAATGTTTCAAAAACTTTGAACAAATTAAAAACCCAAATAAGCTCATTAACAGAGATTTCCCATGATCCTAACAGAGATGACTTATGTGACAAAAAAAAATTAAAATTTTTACAAAAGACCCTGAAAACAATGCTTCATCATATACATAAAAACACACATGTAGACCCAAAAAAAAAAAAAAAAAGTATTTTTATCGCATTTTCCAGTGTTTTTCTTGTAATTCAGAAATACTCATCTCATGAAAGTAAGAGAGAAAGATACTGCAGTTACCTGAGAGATAAAGAAAGAAGCCTATTGAAAGTTGAAAGCGTTATATGTCTGCCTCTTTTATTTAAGAAGTAAAGTTGAATGAAACAAAAGTGTGAGAGAAACTGTGTTTATTAGGCGAATGGAGGCCCAGATGGCATACAGATAGGCAAGAAGAAGGGAATCAGTTAGTTTTAGTGGAAACATAATTTGCCTTTTTTTCTTTGGTTTTTTTTGTTTTTATTTTTAGTTAAAAAAATATTAAAAATATAAGTGCACATTTTATTTTTTTTATTTTTTTTTATTATAGAAGTGATTTTGTTGTTTTATATTTTTTCTTTTTAAAGGTTAATAATAATAATAATAATAATAATAATAATAATAATAATAATAATATAAATAGAGGTATATAACAATTCTCAAAATTACAAAAAAAAAATTATTGAAAATAGTTAATAGTAATCGAATGAAAACGTGTTTAGCTAGTGGAAATTCTCAAAGGGAGAAAGTTTTGAAAGAAAATGAGGGGAAATTAATAAATAAATGTGGAAAATATGAATTATTATGTCAAAAAAAAAGAAGGTTAAATAATGAATCTAGACGCCTATTCCTTAAAATTGAAAGTGACTCTGACAATGGAAAATCCTTGTTTACTTTTTTTGGTGTTTAATCAAATATGAAAAAGAACCTTCGAATTTGCCATTTTGGATGGTGACTAAGAATTTATGGTACTCTATAAACTTTAGCTTACATCCAGTGTGGGAAATGGACTTTTTTATATTTAATCGGATTCTCACTTGTCACAATCAATCCTTAATTTTTTTTTTTTTATAAAAGCATTAGTTCACAGATAAAAAAAATATAATAGTTATTGAAATTTAAATTTAATTTGTTGGATGTTATTTTTTAATATGAATCAGTAGAACTCAATTTTAATGGATTTAATTGATTTAAAATAATTTGATTATTTTTAATTGTTAAAAATAAGTTGATCAATTTTGAATATTCTTTTTAATACTTGATTTGTTCAATTTTTAAATATTTTAATAATTAAATTGATCAATTACTTAATTTTACTTATTAAAAATAATTACATGAACATTTAAAATGATTTCATATTTATTTTTTTAAATATTTACATATACTATTTCCTACTATTTTGGATTAAGCTATTATTTAATTTCACTTTGACCGTATTTTTATTTTTGTTTAAAAAAATAAATTAAAAATTTACATTTTATTTTAACATACACCTCGAATTATTCATTAATCATTATTATGATTCTCATAGTATTTTCATTATTTTTTAAGAGCAAAATTGAAATTTACTTTTGGATTGTGTAACAAGAGAGTAAGTATTTACCTATGATCTTGATTTGATTTTTTTTTTTAATTTTAATTTTTAAATTTGCTTCAAATGCAAGAAAAAAACCTCATGGTGATGTCTTCAACTTGAAGTTCGTACTTAGTACTCATCATATTCATTCCTTTAATTTTGGACAAAATTACCGCTTACTATTTATTAATTCAAAATTTCCTATTTTAGGTCATTTATAAAAAAATTATGTCATTGACTTTTTTTTTGTCAAAAACAAAACACACCGTTTATTAAAATTATGATAATTTTAAGAAACGTGAAATTTTATATAATTAATATTTACACATTATTAAAAAAAATTATTTTGATATTTTATATGAACTAAAAATGCATTATACTTTCAATATTATTTTATTAAATGAAAAAATATTACTAAATACTATTGAACATTTAAAATTAAAATTTTAAAACGAAATAAAAGTAAAATTTAGAAAAATACTATTAAAAAAAACCTTAGAAAATACATTTATTTTGAAGAGATAAAATGGATTGGGCTAAGACCATATTATTGGGTCAGAATCTTCCTAAAATGGATCCAAAGAGGCCCAAGTTTAAAAAATTCCAAAGGACCGAAATTCACAATATCCTCCGTCACCGTCAGTCCATTACCCTTCCTCCTCGACTGAAACTTTCCCAACTCCGAACTCCTAAGTCTCGAAAAAAGAAAACCTTAAGAGTACGGAGATTTCTTCTGTGTTTCAAATCCGTGAACAATAATGCAGTCGCATCTTTTGGTGGGACCCGCTCCCGTCAACGGTTTCTCCTCCTCTCTCATCTTCAACGGCAGCAACCCTTCCATTTCCGCTTCCCCATTCAACGGCAAGCGGCCCCACCCTTATAACCACCTGCGCAAACCCCGTAAGCGTTTGGCCCCACCGCCATCATCATCATCATCATCATCATCATCGTTTACATCTGCGACGGGAATCAACGGCGAGCGGAACCATTATTCGGTGCTCGGAGTCGCTCGGAATGCTTCCTTCGCCGATATCAAGCGAGCTTATCGACTTCTCGCTCGAAAGGTAATCAACAATTTTTTATTTTCTACATTCAATTATGTTAGTTCAATTTCTAATCAATGAAAAGTTTTAACCTATAATTACCCTGTGTCAGATATTCTTAATTGTTTGTAAGATCTTGAAAATACACCCAAAAAAAAAAAATCTTGTCAATTACTGTTGGAAAATTTCATGTTATTTGTAAACTGATACTGTTTTTGATTTATGAGCTTCAAATTGATTAATTATAGGGGTAAAAGGCTCGAAAAAGATCTTATTTTTGTTAACCTTTTTCCATTTTTAGAGTTATTATGAGGTTGAATTTGTTACATTTGGATATTGTGAAGTTATATGAATTATAGTTGAAATTATTCAATAGATTTTGAATTAATACTAGTAATTTACTTGGATATGGAACTCGACTTCTGAAGAAAAAGGAATCTCAGACATGTTAAATGCCATCATGAACCAACTCAGTAAAGTTCAATATTCTGGACGGTCCTTTGGTTGTGTAAATATGAATCTTTGGATAGAGTTAGGCAAGGATAGTTGATATCTATACCAATCAGCTGACCATATTATAAATGCTTGAGTTTGTATTTCAAGATTTTTTTTTTTTTGAGGTTCTGTTTTGTTTTTCTTTCCTAGTTAAGAATTGTTTATGAAATTAGTTTATTGATGCTTATTTTCATGTTTTGGTGTCAGTATCATCCTGATGTTAGCAAGGATTCACGAGCTGGTGTGGTATTCAAGAGCATCCGTCGTGCTTATGAAGTGAGAATTCCTTATATGCTTGTTTCCATGTGATTCACTAATTGCTAGATTTGACTGTTACCTTAAATTTGGAAGGACATTTACCTTGATTTGAAAGGATCCAATTTGGTAGGTTGAACTAGCAAATCTTTGTAGTGTTGAACTAGATGTAGGAAGAAGTCGGTGCTGTACAATTCTGTGGTGGGATGGGTGTAATATCATAAAAAACTATGAATAATCGGAACTCTGTTGCTTATATGATAGAAATTTTGGGTTGACAAGAACAACGGTGTGGGTTTTTCAAGCATCAATATGGCAACACTACACAAAATTAGTAAAGGGTAGGATTGTATCCATCGCTGCTTTCCCTGGATTCATTTTTGGGGAAACAACACTGGATAATGACTTTCTTAGGAAGAAAGAGAAAAAAGGGGAGAGGGGGTAAAGACCGAGAGAGAGCGCTGTGAATTTCTAATCCTAACGCTTTTGTTTGAATTCCCTAAGTATGACCAAGAGTTGCCTTAAACTTCTTATCTTGAACATTTCCTTCTGCATGGGCTGATATTATGGATTTCTAGGCCATGGATACTTCAACTAAGATGAAAAATTCCAATATAGCTGTTATCGCCCTTTTATGAACTTTTGATCTGCTAGCTTCCCTCCTCTTTATTTTCACACTTCCCTGTTCTTTTGCTTTGTATTATGTTTTGGAAATCAATGAAAGATATTCTTAAAGTATTTTCCCTTCCAAATAGGTATTATCTAATGAAGTAACAAGGAATCAGTATGATCGTGCACTTACATTTCAAGAGGATATTGGGAGGTCATATAAAGGAAAGTGGAACTATAGTCCTGAGTTTGAAGATGGGATTAGAATAAAGAGGTGGGCTGAGGTCAAACGAAAAATGCGAGAAGAGAGATTTCGAAAATGGTATAGGGTGAGCGAGGAGTATTCTTCCTTCCATGATGAAAGAGATGATGAGGCTGCAGAAGAAAACCTGCATCAAGAGAGAGGTTCATTTATTGAAGTTCTAAAATCCGCTTTCATAACTTTGTGTTTACTTCAGACATTTGGGTCTCTTTTTTCTCTCACCTTCAGTAGCCTAACGGCTCTGTTGGATAAGAAGTTGGATGCTGGATATAAGATTGGTTATGTCATTGCATGGGTTTTAGGCGGGAGAGGCGGCATTTTGCTGACTTTATGTCTCTCATTTGCAAGTTGGGTTTTTGGGAAAACCAGCAGCAGTATAGTTGTTGTGGTTGTTGTAGCCATGTGGATTGGCTCCAATCTTGCAAGATATGCTCCTCTTCCTCAAGGTGCCCTCCTCACACTTTTGTATATGTCAATCAAGCTTCAAGTTGATTTAAACTAATCCTTTCATAACATCATCTGCAACATGCATTGTTTCTTTCTTTAACTGTTGGTTTTGTACATATGTTTGTCTATAGAAATGTAATAAAAATGCCAGTTGGTTGGAAAGAAAATTTCAAGAATGTGGATAACATGGTATAGAATATAGATCTAGGAGTAAAAATTTCGTCTCTTTAGATTCCAGTTTCCTCTGTCTGAAAAGAACAAGAAAAAATTCACATGTTTATCTGTAACATTTATTTGATACAAGAAAAAGAAGAAAAAACTAGTTTGACATACTTCTACAATATGTCAAAGCTGTTAACAGGTCTTAACATATTCATCATTCTTCAGTTCCTTGAGATTCCTCCACAAATACCTCCCACTAGACATGTCAACAAATACCCAGAATCCATTCTGAGCCATCTGAGATTCAAGAATAATGAAAGAAACAAAAAGAAAATGACCCAATCAAGAAAATCTGAAACAGAAACCAAGACAAAAGGAAAGATTTCTCGAAAATAAACCATTTCAACACATACCCTTTTGAAACTGAATTCTTGTTTGTCTTTGGCAATTATCTTCTCTGAATCCTCAGAAACTAAGTCGTGGATATCAGATGATGAACGTACCGTCCTCCATGCAACAAACCCTGCTAAAACTGCTGAGAAAAACACCAACAAGAATCTCATAGGACACATTCTCCTTTTTCTTTTTCCTTTCAAAACCAATGGAAAACAATCTCCGCCTTTTTTCTTGTCTTCAATAAGAGGGACAAAGCATTGAAGATTCTAACCCCAAACTTCGTTTTTTGTTCCTTTGTTTTTCGGATGACAGATTGGATTTGTTAGTAATGTAGACAATGGAAAGATATGGGCGACCAATGCATTATGTCAAAAAGTAAATGCTATATGGAAGCCACGTTGTTGGACTCACACGGCTTTGGTATTGGTATTATTTTATGGTTTTACAATGTCAATAGTGGCTCACCATCTCCATTAATAATTGGTCAACAGTTTACTTTTTCAGTTGTGTTTGTGGGAAAATATAAAATATTAATTGACAGCTTGGGAGTTTCAGGACGTAACCCAAAAAAAAAGAACAAAAAAAAAGCCCTATCTGTCATATCCAACTATCCAAATCTCCTAACAGAAACTTTGTTTTTTATGAATATCCCTTATTCATGATTCCCACACTCCCTTCTTCCATTTTATTTTTGGGTTTTTTTTTTTTAAGTTGAAATGGTAAGTTAGAGTAGCCCAATTGTGCTTATATATTACATTGGAGTCGATTTCAAGATTAAATATTTCAAGTTTGAATCTAAATTGAAATTAAAAAAAAAAAAAAAAAACCACAGCATGGAAATGTTGACTTTTACCTCATTGCATAATATGGGCCCAATCCAATAAGATTGGACTCATCAGTAGTAATTAGTCTATAAGGGCAACGTCCTTTCATTTAGGGCTAAGACCCTTTTCTTGGGCTAATATAAATGTCCATGTAAGGTGCCACAGTCCACAAAGTTATCCAAAACTGCAAACTTCAATTAATTATTACTTTACTTGCTCTTTGATTTTTATTTTATTTTTTTTACTTTTAATGCTTATTTCAATCAGTCAATTACTGGCTTGATAATTCATCTTCAAAATATTAGGACATGCAAATGTTGGGATTTGAGTTTTAAATGAAGATTGAGGTTTATTCTTAAGACAATGGAGTTTGAGCTTTTCACTAGCGTTGAAAAAATTGAATTGGTCAGTTAGATGGATTGAAAAAATTGCTTCATAAAAAAATGATATCGTGGTTCCGATCATAATTGCTTGTTCAACTTAATAAAGAGAGTCAAAGACCAACACGAGATGTCAGTGACTACAAATGCCCATTGTTCCGATTATGAAACAAGAACAAAGGTTTTTGTTTATGCCAAAATGCGACCTTAGGACGTTCTAGAAAAAAAAAAAGATGATGAGAGATAAAGGTAGAAGGTATTTTCTGTATTTACATTTCAACGCATAAATTAAAAAAAATGACTTCGAAAAGAAAGTAGAAAGGAAAATTAGGAGTAAAGGGGACCTTGGTTCATAGGAGGACATTTTTTTAATTATTAGAAAGTGGGAACCAAATTTTAGAGCTTCTGAAGCCACCTCTTCTTCAGTGGCAGTTTGGATGAGATTATCAGAGTTACCAGTTGAATACTATGATCTTGACATTCTTAAAAAATTTGGGAGACATGTCGGGATGTTACTTAGAGTTGAAGGACACACTACAGCTGGAGGAGGAGACTGGAATGCAAGAATTTGTGTTCAATTAAGCTTGAAAAAACCATTACCAAAGTATATCGTAGTTGAAGACAGGAAACAAGTCCGCACAGTTCGCGAGCTTATTCGTATGCTTGGTCTGGAATTATGATTATTACTGAAATACGTGCACTGGGTGATGATGTTCGTCAGATTATTGACCTGCCATTTGATGCATATCATGGACTAAATAATTTTTTTTGTTAAGTTTGTGAAATTTTTTTATTAAAATAATTAAATAAAAATAAAAACTAATAAATTAAAAAATCTAGTTATATAAATTATGTGTGTAAAACTTAAAAGAAAAAATAAATTTTGATTTTTTTAGATAAAATTTTTAATAAAGATTTTGAAAAAAATTTTATGAAATAAGTATTTATAAAATTAAAATTATAAATAATATTTTTAATAAATTTTTACATATGATTAATTTTTATATTAAATTTTATTAATTTAAATTTTTTATTAAAATTTTTATTATATCATTTTTAAAATAATTTTATATACTTCACTTAAATAACTTTATTTTTATCCTTGTCTGAACCATTAAAGGTTCTAGCTGTGGCTTTAAGTCTTTGTTTTTTTGAACTGCAAGGAACCGTACCAACATGATACATGGACCAGAGGGCCAAGAGAAATCTTTGAGCCAAATTACCAAATTCAATTCCCCAATTCCTATATGAAGAGAGCTTAGTACAAAGCACTATTTTATTTTATTTTTTCGGATAAGTAAAGGTTTTATTTATTCAAGGAGTGGGAGAAATTCCTGCTAAGGAAAACAAGTTTGCAGCTTAATGCAGTCAGAGCAGATGAGTTTCCTTTTAGGTGAAGTTTAACCCAGTAGAATTATATTCATGATTCTCAATCAGAAAACCGGGCTATGAATATTTCAAGCACCAAGCATTACACCCGGCCCTTTTTTTTTATGTGAAAATGAGTTTGTTTCTTGTCTCCTTAGCATCTGTACAAAATCTTTATTTCACTGACAAGATTTTAACTCCAATAATCAAAGATAAGACAATAAGTATAAATGACCATGAAACATAGAGAAATCTTTCCAGACCATCACTTCCAGTTGTTGATGCCATGATGTTCCGTCTGAGTGAAGTTTGCATTTGCAGCTTGGTCCGTTTAGATCATCAGCCTTTATTCCTGAAATTAAACGAAAGAAACCATTAAACTGACAAACACTTTTAAAATCTTGCAGCATAAGGTTGAAAGGTTTTCCAGAAAGAACAAAGATCCAAAGAGAAAAACCAAAAGCTTAAATCAAATACTATCACATTGTTTCCCTGAACAAAACTCAACGGAAGGAAAAGAAAAATAAATCAAATAACAAAACAAACTGTAGCAGGTAGACAAGCGAGCAGAACTCACCCATGGAGGAAAAAATTTCAAGGGGTTTCTTTTGATTTCTATTTGGCCTCCTATTTTTTTTTCAGCATCAGCTACAAAAGGTGGTTCCACAGATTTTTTTTATCTGCTTCCAAAGGTTCTGTTATGGTCAATTCCTTCAACGAGGTTAACTTCTCCAAACCATCAACCTTGGTAAGTTTTTTGCAACATCTGATCTCTAGTTCTTTCAACTTTTGCATGGAGTTGTCTTCCACAGTCCACGTCTCCAATTTATCAAGCATCCACAATTTCAATTCCAGGAGCTCAGGAAATCCACCATGGTGACATTTCATTTCTGTCCCCTCATAAGAATGCGCGTAAAGCCTCAAGACCTTAAGCTTCAGCAGTTCCCCAAGAGCTTTCATTGGATCTTCTGATAGACGTGAAACTGACAAAGTGAGGACTACAAGATTTGGAGGAAGTTCATTATCCTTGAGTGACCCTGGAAGCTCTCCCAGCAAATACAATCTTGATAAATTTCTCAGATTCTCCATCCCCACTAAATCAAGTTTTGCAGGCTCGTTTGAGTCACTTATTGATCTCAACTTTAATGACTCAAGATTGGACAATTAGAAAGCCAGTCAGCCACACCTTCCATTGATGTTTCTAGGCATGTTAATTTCAATTTCCTAAGCCTAGTCACATTGTACAGCCAAGCCTCGGGAATCTTCCTTCTGATTATCAACCCCCACAAAGTCTGAAGACTGCTTAATGATCCACAAGCCAATGTCTTTTGAACAGACACATCAACATTAATCTCGCTCATATATAGATGTCGAAGTTTCTTTGCCTCCCAAATGGTACTCGGCATAGTGATTATATATGTATGCTTTATGTCCAATGTCTCTAGGTGAGGGAGACCACCAACAGATCCTGGAATTGAATCCAAAAGAGTCCGTCTCAAGCCTAGATATTTCAGCTGACGTAATTTGCCTAGTATTTCAGAAAGCACCGGTTTATACACACCTTCCAAATCGAGCACTACAAGCATTCCAAAGCCTCCCTTAACAATTTTGTTTAGCAGTTCACCTACTCCTGATGTTGGAGCATCTCCTCTTTTGTTGTAGAATGAAATGTAAGTACGAAGATGCTGAATGTAGATTACCTGAGGTTTAGTGTAGATGTACATATCTAAGTCTTCTGCAAGCCTTCGAATATTACATTGTGTTCGAATATTACATTGTGTTCGAATATTACATTGTGGTGACTGGGATGTACCTGAACTGCGGTGGAAGTGAAAAAATCCAGCTTTCTCTGCATTTCGCAGCAAGGTATCGTATAATGTATTCGTTACACGACATGTTTTAGGGCTTCCATCCAACCTTCCTTCTGCTATCTCAATCATGTTTGTCCTTAATAGCTCCTCAAAGCGACTCTTCGCCAAGTCTTCAAGGGAATTTTTTCCCTCTGTTGGCTGTGTCACCAGTCCCTCAGCAAGCCATAGCTGAAGCAACCTCCTTACAGGGATCTTATATTGTCTAGGAAATAGACCCAAATAAAGAAGACAACACTTTGATGAGAACGACAAGTGCTGATAGGTCACAGCCACGGTATTTGACAAAGAGATTTCAGCTGGAGAACTCGATTCATCAGAGGAAGTTGATTGATCTTCAGCAGAAGTTGCATTACCGATATCAGTCACCACTTTCTTCTGTTCTGTCTGCTCAGTGGCAAACAAAGCCACCTGATTTGGATCAGTCAGTTGATCATCTCCAGGGGTCGTATACTCCGGCGTTTTTCTCTTGTTATCTTTTCCCTTGGCATCTGAAGGAACCTGTTGAACCGATGAACTTGACTGACCTTCAATAGAATTCTTCTCCTCGCCATTTGAAGAACCCACCTGGTTTGCCGTTATCGCTTCGTTCTTATCATGTTTTTGCTCCACTTGCCCCGAGGAGTTCAATTGATCTTTACCAGTCATGCCTTTTTTCTTTTCGCTTCTTTTATTAGTTTGCTCCATTACTCTCAACCACTCGTTATAATTTTGCCCTTTGGTAGACAACAAACCTCCAAGCAGAACTATTGTAAGAGGTACACCACCACATCTTTGCAAGATCTTTTCCTTCAAATTTGACAGTATATCTTCTATATCTTTTTTTTCCTTCTCTTTAAACAACTCCTTTTTAAACAACTCCTTTTTAAACAACTCCCAGCTTTCATCCTTGTTTAATGGGCGTAAAGGAACTACAGCCTGTGGATTCATATGGTATGCAAGATAAGCCTTACGAATAGTGAGTATCACTCTGCTGCCGTTTGATGAATTGGGGAAGACGAGATTGAGTCTGTTCCAAATGACAGGCGTCCTAACATCATCCAAAACTATCAAGTATCTTTTCCAGGTCAAGAAAAGCCGAAGCCCCTTTCGTAGTTGCTCAACAGATAAGCTCCGGTTCTCCGTCACCTTTCTGAGCTGTCTAAATAAATCAAGCAATATATCTCTCTCTTCAA